GGGCATCCAGGAGCTCGGTCCTTCACAGGGCAGCGGGGTGGCACCACCCTTCATGATAACGGGGGTTTTGGGGGGGTTTTTTGCTTATTAGAGCCAAAAGTAGGTGGTGTTGGTCTTAGGCACAGCTCTGTGCAGGCTGGCCGGAGGAGAAGCATCTGCCGGGGTTTCAGCACCTCCTCAGGCATCTCGGTTTCCGTGTGCAGTCCCAGGCTGGGAGCATCTTTGGGCAGGTTTGGAGAACAAGCCCAGGTGTTTCTGAGCTGTCTCCGCGTGGAAACGGGAGGGGGGTTCCCTTGCTGGGAACGACGAGGAGCTTCCTGCGTAGTTATTTTACTCGATCTCAAAAATCATTTCCAGCTTCGGGTCTGGTAGGTGCCCGGTCCCCGGTATGAAACAACTTTCCAAAGGAATGTAGGACCAAGCTTTTGGGTTGTTTAAAAATGATGTCGTCGTTTAATGTCGTTGTTTTAGGGGGAAGCTGGGGAAATCGGAGCATTTCTGAAGCCGGTACAAGGGCAGAGCAGGCGCTTTCTCTCCGGACACCGGGAGGTTCCTGTGCTTGGGCATCCTCCCAGTGCATCCCGCGCCTGCGCAGCCTCTTGTGCACCGCACAGAGAGAGACTCTGACCAGGCTTCAGTTTTTTGGTCAAACCGTGCTCTTTTTCTGCACATCAGCGACTTCTGTACCAAAGCAACTTTTTCTGTGCCGTAGCAACGCCTCGTAACTTCTCAGCACACCTCCGCGTTCTGCGTCTGAGCAGGACAAACTCAAAGCCGCAGTGTTACTCAACACCAGGGGCGGAGGGGGGGTCAGAGCCGGATCCGATCTTTACAGGGAGGCCCAGCTTCTCCCAAAATAAAGTCCGAGTCCCACACCACCCCTTGAGCCCGGGGGATGCCCCGAGCATCCCACCAGGCAGAGCGAGCTCCTTGGGGCACCGGTGCCTCCGAGTCCCCGTAGCAAAGGGTGTCTTTAGGAAACGCCGCGTAGCTGTGGATACTTGATAGACTCTTTCTTCCCGATCCCAGGCAGAGCCAGTCTGTCTATCCGCTCCCGTCATGTGGTCTTTTGGAGTGAGCCAGCCGTATTCGTCAGCTCTTTCTGCTGGGGCTTCTTTCTCCAGGTGAGTATGAGCTGTGTGAGGCAGGGCAGCAGCTCGGCCGCTCTCGCCGCTTGCAGTTTGTGCGGTAGGAGCTTGCAGCAGACCGCGGCCACCCAGGGACGGCCGCGCAGTGTCTGGTCCGAAGCGTCCCGGGAGGATGCAGGACGGTTGGCTTTTAATCAGCAGAAGTCCAAACAAAGCCAGAAACTCCTGCCTTCGGCTCAGCCTTGGGAAAAGAGGGTGAAATCGATTGCTCGGGATCTTGCTCCTTGTCACTAACCCTCTTCCTGAATGTATCCCTGTGGCCACCACCGCTGAGTTTTGGCCCTGCAGAGACCGATCTGTTTTACTGGGTCTCAGCCTTAGAAGCAGGACCCGCAGCGGGCAGCCACTTGCTGTCCTCCCATGGGCACAACTCAGCGTCACGTAACGTAAGCGCACAACACAGCCCCGGACCATGCGCACTGCAAGTTTACAGTCACCCAGGACCAAATTTTGCCCTCTGTAAATACACCCAGACCTCAACGATGTCCCGGTGAGCGCAGTACGTGGAAATCACGGAGCCTGGCCCATCTGGGCGTGCTGGTGGGCAAAGCCCCCGCGGCGAGGACGGCAGCGCGTCTGCTCACGCGCCGGCTTTCGCTGCTGCTTCACCTTGTCCCGAAGAGCCGTCACGCTCTGCCCGGCCTCGAAGGCAGGGGAGGAGCTAACGGTTCCCTGCAAGGGCCCGGCAGCCTCCCCGAGCCCCGTGCAGGAGCTCCCGCTCGCAGGTTTTTGGAGGGGGTGGATTTTTGCAGCGCTGCTGCAGCTGAGAAAATACACCTGGTCAGATAAGGATCAGCCTGTGCTGGTAGATGAAATTAAACAGCTTTTCTTTTTGTGCCAGCATATCTAATGAAGAGTTCATCTCCCATGGGCAATTCTGCCATCTCAAGCTGCAGCCATTAAGTGGCAAGCTTGGCAAAGCTGACCGCGCTGGCTTTACCCTCTGAAACTCGAGAGAGAGCTAATGAAGCCTGAAAGCTGGCGAGACCTCTGGTGATCTCAGCGCGGTGCCGGCGGGGAGCGTTGCTTAGGCGAGGTGCACCTCCTAGAGCCGCAGTTCGGTTCATGCTCAGGCTGCTGCTATTTCTGCTAAAAGAAGGATGCTGGGTGGTCCCGGCCTCTCCCACCCGACCCCTGGGTTGAGTTCGTTGTTCCTTTCTGCAGCCCTGACGGGATATTGCAGCAGCAGAGACCTGAAACCGCTGGTCGCAAGCGCCCTTGATCTCAGCCCGGTTGGCTCCCGCTGCGGACCGGTTTCCTCGCCGCCGGCGTGGTGGGGCTGACCGGAACCCGCTGGTCGCAAGCGCCCTTGATCTCAGCCCGGTTGGCTCCCGCTGCGGACCGGTTTCCTCGCCGCCGGTGTGGTGGGGCTGACCCACCCGAGCTGCGGGTTTGCTTTCCATGTCCGCCGCTTACCGTCTGCTTCTGCCACGTCAAGTGCCACCTCGTCCCCAGCCTCCCGGCGCGGCTCATCCGCTCTCTGTTGCAGGTTCACTCACCCGCTGATGCTGGGCTCCGGCATGCACACCACCGGCATCCCGCACCCCGCCATCGTGCCCCACTCCGGCAAGCAAGAGATGGAGCACTATGACCGAAACATGTGAGTTGGAAGTGCTGGCAGCGCTCCTCGACAGCGTTAGTGCCCTAATGCCTGTTTCCTTTATCCCTGTTATTTCCTTTATCCCTGTTATGCTTGCACGGGGGGGAGGACGGATGGACGGACAACGGTGGGCATCCAAGCTGTGGATCTCAGGCTCCCCACCTGCTCGTGGTGTCGAGTCTTCTGCTGTGCTTGGTGCCACCGGGCTCCGATGGCTCTGATGCTGACGGCTCCTCTTTCGGTCCCACCAAGGAAACCTCAGCCAGAACCAAAGAGAGAGAAGGAAGCCAAGAAGCCCACTATCAAGAAGCCCCTGAACGCTTTCATGTTGTATATGAAAGAAATGCGGGCGAAAGTCATTGCCGAATGCACCCTGAAGGAGAGCGCGGCTATCAACCAGATCTTGGGAAGGAGGGTAAGAGTCTGCGGGGCTCGGTGCCGTTGTCCCTGTGCAGCATCCCCGACCCTGGCAGCTGCCTTTAAGCACGTAACGAGCATCTGCTTTCAAACCCGGCTGCTCTTATCCCCTGCATGCCGCTGGATGTGCCCCGGCGCGGGGCGCCCGTGGTGGGATGGGCTGGGAGGACACGGCAGGGCCACCACGTCTCACCACCGCGCTTGTCCTTGCAGTGGCACGCGCTGTCCCGGGAGGAGCAGGCCAAGTACGGCATGGCCAGAAGCGACCTGGGGGGCTGACCATGGTCCCTGGTCATGCCGCTCCTGATGGCACAATAGCTGTAGAAATACACATTTCAGGAGTATTTTGAATATCCTCTTGGCTCATTGCCTACCTGTAGCACGAATGTTACAGCTCCCCAGCCACCACAAGTGTTTATTCACTTGTTGTCCAAGACGTTGAGGGGCTGGAGCGTGTCCAGAGAAGGGCAACAAGGCTGGTGAGGGGTCTGGAGAAGAACTCTTACGAGGGGTGGCTGAGGGAGCTGGGGCTGTTTAGTCTGGAGAAGAGGAGGCTGAAGGGAGACGTTATCGCTCTCTACAACTACCTGAAGAGAGGCTGGAGTGAGGCGGGTGTTGGTCTCTTCTCCCAAGTGACCAGCGACAGGATGAGAGGCAATGGCCTCAAGCTGCATCAGGGGAGGTTCAGGTTGGATATTAGGAAAAATTTCTTTAGTGAAAGAGTGGTCAGGCACTGGAACAGGCTGCCCAGGGAGGTGGTTGAGTCCCCATCCCTTGAGGGGTTCCGAAACCATGTAGATGTGGCACTTCAGGACATGGTTTAGCAGGCATGGTGGTGTTGGGTGGATGGTTGGACTTGACGGTCTTAAGAGGTTGTTTCCAACCTATGATTCTATGATTCTAAATACAAGTAGAAAGGAGGAGGAATTTTTAAGTGATGTGGATGATCTTTGGAAATATAATTTTATGGAAACGCTCTGCTTTATGCATTGCAGGCAGCAGCTGAGATACTGGCCCAGCGGGAGCAGTTCGTGGGGCAGAGATGCGGGAGGAGAAATTCGGGATGGGATGGCTGAGGGGGGGCCGAACGGGCGCCTGCAGCCTCCTCAGCTCCATTCACTTTGCTGTAGCTCCTCATTCTTCGACTTGCAGTCGTGGGGCTGGGTGCTGTGGGACGTGCTGCAGGTTTGGGGGGTTGTGCCGAGCTGCGGGCTGCAGCCTCTGTTCTGCAGGGTTCAAGCTAGCGCAGGGCATCTGCCCGAGCTGTGCTCACCAGGGCGGAGGAATAATGGGAAATCATTTTTTACAAGGCAAAATAGGAAAGCGTAAGCGGCTCTGCAGGAGTTGCAGTGCAAACCCCGGTCCTGCAGGCTGTTCAGGTCTGATTTCGGACTCTCCGTGGGGCTCCATCCCAAGCCCCGGGTATTGCAGGGGCTGTAAGTGGCCCTCGCAGGGTGACAGACACCGAGCTTCTGTCTGTCCCTCGGGGACGCTGATCCCACCCCAGCCGGTCGTGGTTTGAGGACCCTGACCAAATCAAGCACGCCATGGTGGAGGCATTCAGGTGCCATTTGAGCAAACGCAGGCAACAGTGCTGCGAGCTCAACCCAGCTCTTCGGTGAGCCCGTTTCCCAACCAAGGCTGCTGCTAGGGAGGAAAAAAAAAAAAACTTTTCCTGATTGAAAAAAAGGAAAAAAAAATCCCCCAAACCGGGCAGTGGCTGTAGAGCGGAGCAGCTGAGCCACGCAGCAAGTAGCGATGGTTCTCAGCAATAAAAATTAATAAAAATTAACTAGCCCAGAGGGCCCCGAAACATGCCGAGCGCTAGGATCGTGCATTCCAGTAGGCAGAAGAGCAGGGAAAGACGGGAAGCTCGAGCCTTGATTTCCCCCGGTTTTAGCTGCAGCGAGGCGCGCTGCTGCAGCCATCGATGCCAAAGCGATCCCCAAGGCATGAGCAGAGAAAAACCTGCGCTGTGGCTTTTGTGGAGAGCTGACTTGACTCTAGATCTAAAACAGCGGCTCTTCTCGAAGGGGGCTGCGGTGGCACAGCCAGGGTGGCCTGGCTGGGGTGCCCGGGGTCCCCCACACCCTGCGGAGAAGCAGCGGGGCTGGCCGGAGGGACAAAGCTGCTTTGCAGCTCGCGGTGGTAGCGCCGGCACTTTGGAAGCCTCCGGGCTACTCCATGGCACATTTAAATGTTACTCTTAAAAAATTAAAAATTCATTTTCTCTTAGCGATATCGATCGCTTCAGCGGCACCGCGTTCAACCAGGCTGCAAAGGCGTAGCGGTACCCCAGAAGCACAGGACACACTCTGGGTCTTTTCTAGTGGCTTTCTCAGCCGTTTGGATCTTAACGAGCCTAACGAGCTCGTTAGGGACCTGGAGCAAAGCACTCGTGAGTCTTCAGACGTCGGGCCGGCCACTCCAGGGCTCTGCCCTTTGATCTGAGGCTTCCCTCGCAGCCGCTTTCTTTCCCCTGGGAGCTGCACAGCGCGCAGGCAT